CTTGTGTGTGAAATCTGCAGGGCAGGCTGGAAGTTCAGGCAGAATTTCTAAGTTACAATCATGACCTGAGCTGAAGTCAGACACTCAACCGACTGAGCCACCCAGGCGCCCCGGTCCTCCTGAAGTCTTAATTATGACTTTATTCATTTGCTCTAAGTTTAGGCTTAATGATAGATCTAAACTTAAAAAAAATCAGTGATGTTGGTCTGAGGAATATATAGTTAATATAATGCAGTAATTCACCCCACTATTAGGTTTATCTCCCCAATCACTGGAACCACCTGACAATTACAGGCCTTACTCACCAATGCAGCAAGTTCAACATGCACATCCCTAACTGGACTGTACCTTCTCTGCAAGCAGATCAGAAGAACAATATTCAGAAGACAAGGGCCAAGTATGCCTGCCTCCTTCTCCCAAATATGCCCAGTGGGGAGCAGTGGGAGAGGAGAAAGGGAAAATAAGCTGGAAGTATTGACCCCTTAGCTTCTTTCCCAGGGACTGGAGTGGAAAGTCTCTTCCTTTATGGCATCATGAGGCATGAGGAGTGATTATCCAAACGAACAGCTATTTCAACATTAGCAATGAATGCTTTAGGAAATCTGTCTGTATATGCCCTGGAAATCCACTGTAATGACATTTTCATTTGCCTCACTTCCTTCTGTTTCAAGGTTTAAAAATCCTTGATGCTTAGACCATGCCCAATGCAGATGTTGATCTGATCTCTTATTAACTAGGCAGCATTTAACCATTGCAAATGTTGAGGTGATCTATGACATGGCTCCTTATTGTTTCTGAGGATGTGAAAAGACCACTTTCCCCCTGGACATTATTTTTGGAAAGCTGTGCCAGCTGTCGATATAAAGATACCTTGGGTGTTTTTCTACTGTTGAGGTAAAAGGAAAGCCACTCTTCTCCAAGGACAGGGGTTAGGCCAGAGCCAACCAGAAACCTGCTGGTGTCACCAGTGGTATTCTGACCACATAATCACTTTACCGAGAAGCAAAAAGCTTAAAAGGTAGGGAATGAAAACACACTTCAGGAGAAATGCACAAGCACCCATCACACACACACGCACACACACACACACACACACACACACACACACACAGTCTGTAACACTGGCTTTTAGGATAAGTTCTAGACTGTGTAGGAGAAAGACTGGAGATAGATCGCAAGCGTTATATGGCACTTCTTAAATTTTCCTAATAAGGGACACAGTAATGTTCATTCAACTACACAGTAATGCAGTCAGCTTTCATGGGTAGTTATAGAACCAGATTCATTCCTTTATATGTCAAATCACTTAAGCTCTGATTTCTAGCCCAATGACAAAATATTTTGAGGGATTTGAACAAACCAATAAATAAGCATCATGCAATTTATAGGTGCATTAGAATCTGTACCAAAGCTAACCAAAATATCTTAATAAAATGTAGTTTTGCATGACCTCTGTTTAATGAGGAGCATCTCTATGTTTCACTGGCAGATTCTAAATTCTAGCAACTTGTTTACTTAGGGAGATTTCATAATAATGGAACTTAATGATGCATGCAGTACAGAAGAAGTGATTCAATTTTATAAGTTTTTTGTTTGTTTGTTTGATTTTTAGTATGCTGTGTCTTCTGCCTGGAATATTATTTGTAACCAAAGACTGCCAAAAATCAGAAGCAAACCCTTGAGATTACCTAGTGAAAACCTTTTATTTATAGATGAAGAAATGGATTTAATAACAAACCCAGGATGAGAATACAGTTTTCACCTCTCAATCCTTTGTTCTGTCTTTAAGGCCTAGTATAAGTTGCATCTCCTTCATGAAGCCTTCCTTGACCTTCAGACTTTTATGAACCCCTAATCATGGTCTATACTGTACCATTTAGCATTTGGTTAAAAACTCTTTTCACTCCCAAAATTATATCTTACTCTCGTATAACTTACTCTTGTATATTTTATCTTGTATTACAAGATACTCTTGTATCTCTCAGGAGACTTTTTTTTTTTTTTAATTTTTTTTTTTTAATTTTTTTTTCAACGTTTTTATTTATTTTTGGGACAGAGAGAGACAGAGCATGAACGGGGGAGGGGCAGAGAGAGAGGGAGACACAGAATCGGAAACAGGCTCCAGGCTCTGAGCCATCAGCCCAGAGCCTGATGCGGGGCTCGAACTCACGGACCGCAAGATCGTGACCTGGCTGAGGTCGGACGCTTAACCGACTGCGCTACCCAGGCGCCCCAGGAGACTTTTTTTTTAAGTTTATTTATTTTGAGAGAGAGAAAGTGCAAGTGGGGGAGGGACAGAAAGAGAGGGAGAATCCCAAGCAGGCTCCATGCTGTCAGCACAGGGTCGGACGCGGGGCTCAAACTCACGAAACTGTGAGATCATGACCTGAGCCGAAATCAAGAGTCAGATGCTTAACTGACTGAACCACCCGGGCACCCCTCAAAGGAGATTATTATCTCAAGGACAAAATCCATGTTTCATGATACTCTTGACTGAAACACCATAGTACCTAACAGAATTATGGACACCATGATTATCTTCTAAGGTTCTAGTCCCTTTTCTAATGGATTCAGCACTTTGTTCCATGTCACTTCAACCCTACCATCCTCTTTCACAATGTAAACTTTCATATGCATGACTTTTCATCCATAGACATACACACACGCACACGCACACACACACACACACACACACCTGACACCTTGCACTGTGCCTGGCACAGAGTAAGTACTCAACAATGCTTTCCTGAGAGAGGGAGAGGAAGCTGGTTTTTGAAGTTACTATACTCAGGGAAGGTACACAGGTACACACAAGGATTAGGATTAAATTGAGCCTTAAAGAAAATACATTGATTAACACGCAAACAGGAGGGAAAATTATATTTGAGACAAAGAATATCCTGTATTTTAATCCCATATTAGGCACTTATTCCTTGTTTAATTGCAGGCCATTAAGCTCTCTGGGTCTCTATTTCCCTATCTGTTGAACTAGAATAATATTATATATTCCATAGGGTTGTTATAAGAAATAAGTGAGATAAATTATGTAGTAGGATTCAATAAAGAGTAGTTTTTAACAACAACAAAATTAATAATAACTCCCTGAATAAATAAGCCAGTAAAGGTGCCAGTGAGGGCATAATAGGTAGCTCAATTAGGCTAGAGCCAAATGCTTTACAGAAAGAAATGATTGATGGGAGTGGAGGGAGAGGCCAGATTGAGTCTCTCTCTCTCTCTCTCTCTCTCTCTCTCTCTCTCTCTCTCCAACTACCTCTGAGCTTAAAGCTATCAAATGCATCATTAAGTTCACTGCGGGATGTGGTGAAGGCTAAGGACTATGAAGCGGTCCTTTCTCAGTAAAAAGCACATAAGCTTTGAAACAGACAAGACACAAGTTGTAATCTCAGCTCTCTTAGTGGAGTAAACTTGAGGCAGTTTCCTGTTGCAAGTGATAAACAAGGTATACAAAGCAGCTACCATAATGCTAGGCTTTGGGTGGACACCCAATAAATCTTAGTTCTCTCATCTGTGATGTACCAGCCTCACACCCCACCACTCTCTGCACCTTTCCTTCTATTTTCCTTCCTTGTCTGTCTTTGCCTCCTCCTACACTTTGTCTTTCTTTGTTACCCATTTTTTTTTTTTGTCTCCTTACCTATACCTTTGACACTCAAAAGTGTTTACTGAGATTAATTTCATTTGAAAGCATTTATAGACCACTTACTGTAACTCAGGCACTTGTGTTAATAACACTGGACTTAAACACAGCTGCCTGTACTGTCCTTGGAAGTATTTCAAACTCCTTTGTATGAATGAGCATGTCCTCTCAAGGTAAATCAGTTTGCAAAGTGCATCAGCTTGAAGTTAAACAAAGCCACTTTACAGGCCAAATGTGCTCACGTATGGAGTTCCGTAAATGTGTGTGGGCATAGCACAGACAAAAACCAGGAAATCTGAGGTAGGTACTACTGGAACGGCACGAAGCAACAATAAATAATGGGGGAGACGCAAAAGTCAAAGTACAGCTAGTCATATCCTTTTGAGCCCTGAATCCTCCTTTTGGCAGTTTAGCCTGAGGAAATAACTAGGGAGAAGGACAAAGGTTTACGTAAAAGATGTCCCTTGTAGGCTTGCTTATATAATACCGCAAAAGTAAAACAAGCCTTCGCATCTCACAATAGATCAACCCAGTTATGCTCTATCCATATAAGCTGTTAATAAGTGATATCACAGAGGAATAATTATTAACATGGAAATAGGACCATGCTACACTATTAAGTGACAAAGCATATTGTAGACCAAAACATACCAGGTGAGTCCGTGTTTGTAAGTAGAAAAAACAGAAGGTGGCTAGCAGGATACTAAAAATAATGAACTCTAAAAGTGAAATGATAAATTTCTATTTCTTATTTTTTTGTTTCCTGTTTGTTTCTAGTTTTACATATTTCCATGTGCCACTTTTGTAACACGAAAAATGCCATACATAAAAATGATGTATGGATTGATAGATGATTGTGGATTATATAGACGGTAGATTAGACAGACGGTAATTAGATAGATGATAAATAAATAGATGACAGATAAATAGGTGGCAGTTTGGATAAGTAGAGTAGATAAGTGGTAGACGGATAGATGAAGGATTAGATAGAAAGATATAGATAGCATTAGGTAGGTGGTAGATTAGCCAGACGAAAAGATGGTGGATTAAATAGGCAGACAGATTAGACAGCTAGATGACGGATGAGACAGAGACGGATATAGACGGGTGATGGACTAGATACATGCACAAACAGACACAGACAGATGATGGCTTAGACAGCGGTAGGTTAGGTAAACAGACAAGGATAGATACATAGATGCTAGATCCGGTTGCAGGAGGCACGCAGAGCCGGACGTCCAGCGACAGTCTTTAAAGAGTGGGCTGCGGTGTCAGCAGTTACAGGGTCACGAGCACAGACCGTGCCCCGGCAGTTGGGCCTGAGCGTGTCCTTTCCCGTCAGGTGGACGTCCACGGCAACATCCTCCTCAGCACCCTGGAGATCAAGAACGAGACGAGCGGCTCGGAAGTGCTCACGGGCGTCAGCGAGCCCAAGGCCAGCAGCATGTACTCGTACGACAGCGCCAGCATCCAGTACCGCAAGCCCCTGAGCAGCCGCGGGGAGGCGTACGGGCGCGCGCTCGAGCGGCACGGCGCGCACAGCAAGGGGCGCATCCGCAGGCGCGCCTCGCAGCTCAAAGTCAAGATCCCCGACTTGACTGATGTGAACTCCATAGACAAGTGGTCCCGAATGTTCTTCCCCATCACCTTTTCTCTTTTTAACGTCGTTTATTGGCTTTACTATGTACACTAAGGTCTGTCCTAAGGGTTCGTAAACGACTACTTTCCTCTTTTGATTTTTGACCCCACAGGCCCCCCGCAGCACCACTGCTGTGCTTTTTTGAGGTAAGAGATTCAGCCATCCGATTGGTTTGAGGTCTTGCATATCAATTTTATTACTGCACCATGTTTACTTCCAAAAACAACACACACACACACACACACACACACACACACACACACACGCCACAAAGAAAACTCTATTTTTTTCCAGTCTACTGTGGTCCAGGTTATCAGCTCTGTCAGAGCTCTATTAATTGCCGTGTTTACAAACAAAGAACAAACACACACAAAGAGAGAAGTTATATAGGTAGATCTTTAGCAGTCCTATCTTTTGGCCCTGATTTTTTTGATCTATTTTTTAAAATGAGAAGGAAAACAGGACCTAGCTCTCCGCGCGCACTGCTTCCTGGTAAACTGTAACAATCTCATGCTGCCAAAAAAAAACAAAAACAAAAACAAAAAACCAACACAATTTCCAGGATCTCAGAAGAAAAAACAAAGCCATTGACAAGTTACAGATTTCCAGGAAGAAGGGGGGATAAGAGGAGCCTAGAAGAGGAAGGAAGTCTCCCCTCCAGCCTCAAGCCCCCCCAGCGCCCTTGCAGAAGGGGTCCCAGCTCCACGGGCGAGGAGGGAGGGATTGACAAGGGCTGATGGAGGTTGTGCAAACCAAACCTGCCATCTTCACCTCACCATTAAGCTGGATATTCTGAAAAACAACAACAGAACAAAACAAACAAAAAAAAACCCCCGCTTCTTTCTCAGACTTGCAGGCAGATTTAAAATTAACACTCAAATCCATCCTGGTGGCCATTGAGAACATTTCTCTCTTCTTGTTGAGAATAAGGAGTCTCAGGGCAATGGAGATTTATTTAACTGACTATCTCAAATGACCAGCCCTGAACTCATTTTATTACCCTGGAATCACTTGCCTCTGTGCCCTGAAGCCATGCCTTCACATCTCCTTAGTTCCTGCTCCAGAGAGAGTGAGAGGAAGGGAATGGGGGAGGAGGGCTTTAATAATGGGCTGGTGAGCATTTTTTGCGTGTAAAACACATTGCCCTTTCCACGAGGAAGGCAAGACTTATGTGCTGTGAAAAGGGTGCCTGGGCAGTTACCTAAACTGCCAAATCTTAAATCAAATAGTATATATTTCTTAGCCTTCCAGAGAGCACCTAATGGTGACAGGCCTTGTTGCACAGGCCCCGGCTAATAACCTTAGTGCTCACCTCTCTGAGCTCTGCATTCCGAAGTAGGAAATGAATGCTTCCGGAAGTGCACACACACCCATTTTGCTGTCACTCTCATCTGAGGCCGGATTACCTTTTTAAAGAAAAATCTCAAAATAGGAAAACCACAGATATCAACAACCGTGACAAAATCACTGGGCCTTCAAACATTTATACCAGCCCCTAAAGCATAGAACACATCTGCACTCATTAATCATTAATCAGCAGTCATTACTGCTCTGCCTTATCTCTGCTCACGGATTACTGTGGTCATGATCGTCATAGAAGGGGCATCCCTCAGTAGCCCAACACACAATTCTAAACACGTCTAACCAGCTACAGTTGAGGTTTATCACATTTTATGTCATGAAAGCCTCATTAATTTTTTTTCACCCTGAGTATCTTAAGAATTCTGTATGTTCATTCACAAGGTTGAGTGAAACCCTAAAACAACCAACCAGTGATGGAGGCAATTGGGGATCTGACCCCTCGCTGTCAAATATGGGTTTAGGTAATAATAAGGACAATTGCATCATTTGATGATCTGGCTTTCTCCCTAAGGCTGTGATGAGGGTCCGTGTTGACAGTAGCATCAGCTGCTAGAAATTACAGTCTTAATTGGAAAGATAAGGCCAAATTCCTGCTGATGAGCCCAAGGGGACAGAGTTTTGAGATACTCTTTTTAGAAAGCAAAAAGAAAAGAGAAACCTAAAATAAATGAATGGTTATAGCCAAAGACAATATACGTTAGTAAGAATATAAAAATTGTGCTTTTACTGGAAAAATTATCTCAATGGTTTCATAACCAGTTAGTAGGGTATGGGGACCAAATTCTCATTTAGATTTTCAATTGCATAATCACAGTTCCATGGTCAAGGAAATCTCCAGCCTCTGGGGATGAAGGGATCCATTTTGAAACTGACTACTTCTTGGCATGGAAAGAGGCTTTGCCATCATGAAATGCCCAAATAGAATGGAAGGTGCCCATGCCGGTGACTGTAAGGTTAATATTCCCAATGACCACTCAGGAAATACTGTGTATTTTAAACACAGGAAGGTAGACTTTGGGCTGATGCTCAACAGGAATGAATCATCTGATGTCAAAGTTTTTTAAAAAGCTTTTAAGGATGAAATGCTAAATTAGAAAGGAAGTATCTATGATCTATGTTCCTTAACAAAACAATTTTTCTTTATTCACCTGTTTAGATCATTCTCCTTGGAAAAGATTGAGGTAATTTATATCTTTACTAATTTTTTTATCTTGCCTTAAAAGTCTAAAGAATTTGATGCTTGTAGTTCAGATGTAAAGCATCTCTGAGAAAAAAATAGAACATTTTTAAATCTTATATCTTAGCCTTTGTAAATTGCAAAATTAGTAAGCCTGAATCTACCATCAGGCACAAAATGGTATCATTATATGTCTTCGTAGGCTTAGAGAGGGCACAGCCACAGGATTGTGCAAATTCTGTTAATAGCTCTGACTTAGAGGCAATGGTAGCCTGAAAAATGGAGAAGCTGATGTATTTCTGGTTAATGACCTTTGTCCCCACTTCCTTCTTTAGGACACCTCTCAGCCAAATCCCCTCCTCTGTGGCCCCCACCCAAACTCCCTCCAGGCTTAACAGTGCAGGGAAAAAAAACTGCTTCCTTCTCTGCCTCTCTCCCTTGTCTTGCTCTAAATGATGTACATAATACATAAAAATTGTTAGACATTCCTAAGTGCCCTCAAACCGGTCCCCACTTCTGAAAGATTCAGATCAGTACATTATCGAGGGGTTACTCTCCTGCTATTACTGGGTTGTTTTATCTTTGCCATGAAAATAGCCATAATCTCCTGCATTACTGAAGTGGCAGCAGAGGCAGAAAATTGCACAGACTCACTCTCCTTTGCCACAGTCATGTTCAGGGGACCCCATGTTCGCAGTTCATAAACTGTGTCATAGATTTAACCTGTGTAGACCCAGCAGAACCTCATCTTTCATTTGACAACGACGACTACACATTTTTTTCTACTCATGTTCCTTGGCTTAAAATAGAGGTGACACGTGTGTTACGCTTACCAGCTTTGTGAGGCAGACCCAGATAAAGACACATTTTTGGCTTAAATTATCCAGGATTATTGCCTCAATCCTCTATATTACCAAACAGAAACAGCAGACTGGTTGGTAATTCTGCTGATTAAATGATATGTGTTTTCATATCATATACACCATCTTTATTGTGCATTACAATCAATGAAAGATCTTGAAAATGCAAAGAGAAAAATGTGGTGCAGAGAATAAAGTTTGGTTTATGGATCCAAGGATAGCCAACAAACATTATGTACAATCTACAGAAATGTTGAGTAAATGCCATCTTTCCAAAATCAGTTGACTCCTTCACGAATACTTCTTTAAGAAAGAGCTCAATTGAAATTCGCCAAGTTAAACAAACAAACAAGCAAAATATATTTATCATGCTAGAAGGAAACGACCTCCACGAATTCTTATATGGACAGTTTTGAATAGCATCTCACCAAAGGGTGATGTGCCACTTTTTTTTTTTTTTTTTTTT